TCCAGTGCAGAAAGCCAAATATCTACCCATTAACTCAAGGGGAAACTCCCTGAACAAGCAGACATCTGGGCTCTGGAGGCCCCAGGCACGGCAACTCTAGAATGATGCGTGCCTATTTATTTATTTATTTATTTCACAAAGAAAAATCATGGGCACGAGGAGCTGTTCTCCGTTTCATAACTGTCTCGACTTTGAAGGCACAGTGCGCCTATGAAAAAAACATCCCCTCTCTCCGGCAGTCTTTTTGTCTGTACTGCACAAGAATTATTTCTATACACCAATAAAGTAACATTTTCTATTTAGCAATTATTATATTTCAGGTATGTTTTTTCAAAACCTGCTGACAGTCTTGAGAAGCATCAAAACCAAAATCATTCTAATATAAACTGTTATTTTAGTAGGGAAAAGCTTCAGAAAATAATCTTTTAAAAAGAACTCGACACTAGGTTTAAACCATGTAATCAGTTCTTGTCCCTTAGTGCAGACACACAATCCCGATGATGTCATATGTCTAAATCTCTGTCTAACATGCATAGCCCTCAAACAGTGTCACAACCTACAGCCCATCCTCTGGGAACCATTACATGCTGAGGCAGATGGACTGTAGCGACCAATATGTCGATGGTACTGACAAATTCCTAAATGATGTGCAGACACAAAAGCATGCAAGTGCACACACACGCTTGTCACACAATCTCCTGTTGTAAATTCATTTCCCTTCTCTCCTACTTCCCCCTCTTATATTTCAGTCTCTCTCACCCTCTTCCCTCAGGTTTAATTGACTATTGTGGCAGATGGGGTGGCGGTTGGTCTGTGGGAATCAATGTCTTCATTGTGGGACTGAGAGAGAGATTAGCAGCTAGTTAGCACTAGTGAGAGATGACAGCTGGCACTGTTAACCTCCCCTGTCACTCATAAACACACTCGAACACACAGGAAGTAGTAGTGTACAGTTAGCCCTTAGCCAGGCTCAGCAATTACACACGAGAAATAGTGCTCTGTACCTTGAGCCTGTCATTCATACACTGAATAAATGTGGCCCAGTATGTTAATCATGCACACACACTTGGGGATAATCCATTTTTGGCTTAGCTTGACATCTAAAGAAGAAGGAGAAAAGGCAATTTTCCCAACGTCAGTCAAAACTGAGGGCTCACCGAGGGCACAACTCCACACTGTTTGAGATAGAGCGAGGTTTAAGAATGTTGTTGAATCCAGGGCTTGAATATGTCTCAACCTAAACAAAAATCAAAGTAACATGACAGCTCACTAGAACGATCTATCAACTTTGCAAGTAAGCCAAGACACGAAAGCTTTGCCACTGAGGCAGAGCAAACATTCATCATGCGATATGACCCAAAAAGTGACTACGACAGCTGCTGAAAATGGCTCCAGTTTCGTCAAGGCATCTGAAAAACGTCACGCTGATCTGGCAGCAGTTGTTTATTTGACATTTTGTTAAGACGCGTCAAATTTCCCAAAAAATACACACGCACAGTCACAAAGGTATGATCACTCCTCATCTCAACTGTCACTTGTATTGCTTTATTTTACCTAAAGCCGTCTTCTATTGTAGGACAGCTTGGAAACTGGTTCCATCAGACTGATCATTATTTTTTTTAAATAAAATTAAAAGGATCCGACTGCATGCAAGGATGTAGGCTATGATGTTGTTATACTAATCAAAAACACAACAGGTGAGTTGGACTCTTACATTGTCTTAGACCAAAACAGTTTGTCCTCAACAAATGTCACTTGATGTCTCCTTACAACTATTTTTATTTCACCAAACCTAAATAACTCCTGTTAAACACATCTGAGTAGAGTGCCAAAAAGTCATAAGGTTGAACTTGTTGACAAAGAGCATCCAGATGTTGTCCCAGCTGAGCAGCTGTACAGCTGCTATGGACCACAGCTCCTATTTTGTGAGGGTTCAACTGATACTGCTGTAACAATAAAAGCCACAATAATTTCATCAGCCCAGTGGAGGGTTTTCTTAGAAAGGAAAAACAGTTGTCATGGTTGAAAGATATATGGACACATGTGGGAATCTGCAGAATTAATTAGAAATGATGTGTTCCCTGCTAGAAATCATTTGAATTGCCCTGTTGATATTTGGGCTTTAGTACAAGATTCCAACTAACTTCCTAATGATAATATCTGTCAACTGTTATTTAAACAGGAATGTCTAAAGGCAAAGGATGTAAAAGTCAAAATCCTTCATTACATCTTAATATTGTATATACATAATTTACTGTGTGACAATAGTAAAATTACTTAATAGTATTCGGTGATTCTCTAAAGTAATAAGTGAAACAAAATGGGTAATTCCTACAAAACATACTCTTGTTTTAACATCATTTTCAAGCAGAGTTGCAGATTCACTTTCATACCTGCACATAAACCCATCCACGTGTATGTATAGATCCGTGAACACACACACACACAAGTTGGTATTATGCAGCCACAGTCCCATGAGAGATATTATTAAATTTCCTCCAGGGTTCCCACCAGGACTACCATGCCTGGTCAAAGCAGACCAGAGCAGGAAAACTAACAAGGCTCATGTTGCTACTCAACCATCTTCAGAAAGATGTCTCTTCCATGACTGGAGGGACTGATGGTGTCAGTTACTGGGCTCCTTCTTCATCTGGGTCAAATCAAGTTCAACAACAGACGCTTCTTACAATCCGTGACAGTGTGTTTTGACATGACACCGGGGAATTGGCTTGATTTGAATATTTGCATGGTCTTTAATGTGCTGAGAGAATCCTATGACTCAAGGACTGTTATCGTCAATTCAAAAACACAGTGAGCGAATTCAAAGTGCGTGGCTTGCCAAGCTGAAATGAAGCCATGTTTCCTAATTCCTCTATTTTCTGAGGAAAAAAAAAGGTGCGTCTGACAGCAGTGATCCAGAGTGTTTCCAGCACTGCGCATTTTAACATGAGAAAATGTTAGAAATCCCTTTTCTGCGATTAAATATGCAGCATAGAGAATTTTGGCTTGATCTTTTGGCTGACATTCATCCCGTTTTGACATGGGAAAATATTAACATTAACTAAAAATAAAAATCCCCCCAGGATTAAATATCCAATGTGCACAGCCAACATTGGCCTTGTCCAAATTCATCTGCTTTTCAACAGGGGTAATTTAATATGCCAAGCATGAACAGCTGGAGGCAGATTTAATTGAACTGAGTATATTTGTTATCATTCCCTGTTCCTCAAAGTATAAACCACAGTTGAAATACATTTAGCCAAAACATGGGTAAAACTATGCCAATCAGCATGTGTTGTGGGACATGAGAGATATCCGGATTGGCGAAGACACACAAAAACATGCCAATCTAAGCATCTGGAGATTAAAACAACTCAACCTGTCTTTCCAACTAAAACAAGCTGGGCCTTGTCTATAAAGATTATCTTTGTGTTTATTGTTTGAAATAAATCATCTTCTTTTATAGCTGGGAAATTACTCGGTAGCCCTATAGTTTAGTACTGCACAACACACACCCAAACATGTCCAAATACTAAATACTGTGCCATACGTAACCTTTGACACCAACAAATACTCGCTGAAAACGGGTAATTACTAGTCTAGTTATTGAGCAACACCTTGCTCTGTGCTCTTTCTCCCTCTCTGAGGAGTAACAAAAGGGGTAGGAAAGAGAGGTAACATGATATAGATGGATAGTGTACGTCTACTATTGCACTCAGACAGTGTGTAACACAGCACTGCCCCACCCCCCCGCTTTTTTTAAAAACTTAAAACCAGTGTCCTTGCAGTAAAAAAAAATAAAAATCATATTGCGATTATGTTGACAGATATTACAGTATGATTTATTATTCATGGGAATGAACATTTTTACATCACAATTTTCATTTCGACTGATTTTTAAAAAAAATCATGATAATGTGACATTTGTTGGGGTTTGTACCAAACAACCATCTCTGCAGCATTACAGTACTTCATTATTATACAGTTTTGTCACAGTTTACCTTCATCAAAGCGCTGCGACTGGATATTGCAATTTCAAATATATTTCGATTCATTGTGCAGCTCTACTAAACAATTATTTCTGTCACATAATCAGCTAATTGCTTTGCGTTTTAAAATGTCTCCGCTGCTGCTCAGATAGCACCTTCTCTCTGTCAGCTACTGTTCACACTCAAGAAAGGTCATGAGTGCCTGAGTGAGTCCATACACATTCATCTATGTCTACATAGAACAGTAACGTGTAGTGAGAAGATGGAGCTGTAACACGAGTAGGGTAGATCGACTATCACCTTTTCTCAACTGTTTCACTGCTCCTGTTAACTCTTTGATATTCCATGCCTGTGTGAAAGCCACTTCACTCCCAAGTGTGGCTCCATGTATCCAATTTGTTCTTCTATAGCCTACAGATTATGCACTGGGGTGTTATTTTAAAAAAAGCAACCTGTTTCTCTCTCAGTGTAAAACAAGGCCTCTCCATTGTTTCTGTGCAAACGATCTCTGTGTGGGATAAAGGATATAGGTGATTTTCTGGTTTATCTTGTATAGTGCTGTTTGCAGGGGATGTAAAAAATCTTTAACTTACTATAATCATTAACACATAGCTCAAAATACAAATGAAGCCTCGATTCATGACATAAAATCACCAATTTGCCTAAGACGAATTAATTCAGGCTATATTAACAAAAACAACTTTTGACTGTAGCAGCAATATTTGTTGTCACTTTTGTTAAGGATTTACAGATATAATCATATCTTAGCCATCCTAGTCTCTTTATTATGTTAAGTCCTTTTGGTCCTAAGTGGGACAAATCATACAATGGTGAAAGTCTGGTAGCTTTTGTGCGGTTGCTTCCAGTTTCTGCACCTTTGTCACGAGGCCAAAGGACCTGTGCATTTGCTGTAAGATATGATTCAACGGAAGCAGCTTTCCAATTCCCCATGTGCAGTCACCACACACACACAGCACACACACAACACACACACACACACAAACAACCTACCTCCATGGCTAGTGCAGCTGTTTGCTGGTCGTAGTGATTCAGTAGATTGGGCATGAAGGTGGTGTTGTAAGGCAGATCCTGGCACATTCTCAGTCTGATGGGCTCACAGCTAAACTCGCTGTGGCTCTCTATGGACTCCATGTGAATGGACAGAGCAGGTGTAACCAGGGAGAAGAGGAGTAGGAAGATGGGGATAAAGAGGAAAGAAAAACAGACAGGAACGCTTTGTCTGCAGTAGACCGTCGTGGTTTTTGAAAAATAGTCTTTCATACATCCTCTTCCTACAGGTGCTTGCATTTTAGCGTTAGACATCTCTCCACAGTGGCTCAGACTGATGACGTTTCCATCACCAAGACAACCACTAGATAACCCAGAAGGCATGTAGGATTTGTTACTTAGAAACAATTTAGTTCATGTTTAGTGTCAGCGGTGGAGGTAAACGCAAGAAATCCACAAGGTGGACACACACTGTATTGGTACCCTGAACTGCACATGTGGTGGGGTCCCAGTTCATCTGCAGGCCATGAACGGAGCTCCTCTTTGTGTCATTGTAGTGGTGTCTTGCATTGTGCTTTTGAAAGCACTGATCTACACCGTTTATTTTCCAGAAAAAAAAGAAAAAAAAATTATCTGTTTTTCCTCCACCTCCTGGTAATCCCCCAGTCAAGGACAAATCCCCCTTGTTCCATCCTCAAACAGAAAGCACGTCCCTGAGATAATAGCTCCACCATCAGCCGTCTGCCGGAGGTCTTCACTGGGTTGCTCTCTTTCTTCCACTCTATTTGTTTTTGTCTCCTCTCACTCGATTTCTAGTGATGTTTCAAAGACGCATCTGAAGTCAAGCCCACGGGTTGTCATTATCCTCCAAATGACTGCTCTGCAAGACACAAAATCTTTTCCTGCACATTCAATTGCCACCTTGGAGTAGATCCATCAAGCGGGTCCTGCAGGTTTAAACACAAAAAGAAAAAAGGCTTAATGGTCAAACAAGCAGAGTGCTTGCTTAGACTGAACTTGTACTGTATCTGGTATTGTCTCTGATCAGCCACACCCTTGTCCCTACACATGTCTGGATTAAAATATCTGATGAAATCTACACCACCGCATTAGGTGGTAGATGGGCATTTCTGTAAAACATGACAAAGTGTGTTAGCAACCTTTTAGACGGGCTTTGAGCCACGAATGTCTGTATGAGCGTTGTGTCAGAGGGGTCACACACAGTTGATGTGGCAGACTGCTGGAAACACGTTCAAAGCAAACCACAACCACAGCTCGTGCAGGTTTAATGTGAACGTTACACCTGCGGATGACCCCCCCCTCCCCTCCGGCTCTCGTGTTTGTGTGAGGTTGGCCGGGCAACAGTAGCGCTCCCCTGCGAGCTTTCACACTCTGCGACTCGGTGTCTTTATGGTCGACTACACAGTAAACTTTAGAAATGAGCTCGAGTAGCGTGCTAGTGAAATTAAAACAGCAAATGACGGTGTCCATTTCTCTGGTTTTCATTTACACCTGCACCACCAAACTGCGCTCAGTCGACACGAGCTAACTTGCGTGTGAAACCACTGGTAGGCGGCTAGCACTGAAACACTTCACGCTGAACTGATAACGTTACATTGTTACGTTACCTCTGTACTGTTCACCGTCCGCCCGGTACTGTTACAGCTCACACCCCTTAACGTTACCTCTCTCTCTCTTATTTTTTATTTTTTTAAAAAGGAGAACCTGGTTAGTTTTAGAAAGCACACACAAAATAAAAGGTAGTCTTCGGTGAGGCATCTGCAATCAAACACACGGTGACACGCCAGGATCACACCGAGAGAGCGTTATCAATCCTGGGAGCTGTGCGTGTGTTTGTCACCGCAGTGTCTTCAGCCCCCGACAGCGCGCTGTTTGTGCACGGTGCCTTTAAAAGCATTTAATACTCCGTTTGGGCTTGCCGACGAGAATTCATTTAAACGAACTGCACAGCTCGTGTCTGACGCTTAGGAATATAAATGCTTTACCTTGTGTGAGGAATACCGAGCGGCTCGGGCGCTCCTCGGCTCCACCGGCTCCGCTCACTGCAGTACTCCGTTGATCCACTGTTTGCAGCTGGTTGCCTGCAGCGTGCAGCCAGCACAGCGTGGCCGCGGATTCATCGGGACCGCGCAGAGACGGGACAAAATTGGCCCCACTGGGCGTTGCGTGCTGTTGTGGGCTTGTTGTATAAATGTGAATCAATAATGAGAGACAGGTGTGATGGGTATTTGGTTGTCAGAGCCCTTAGAAAACATGCGACCTGTGCTTTTCATTTTGATAGATAACAAGTGGACAACACAAAGGGTAGATATTAGGGAAACTGTGCATGTGTCTTGGATGGATGTGGAGTCTTTAGTTTTTTTCTCCCTACTTAAAGGAGATAAATAAATATAAATAAATATGGAGATTATTTGTGAATGTTAATTATCATATCCACCTTTTTTGATTTCTGAATTTGATAATCAGATTTTATGGGTCTACTTTTACATTTTAAGGCATAAAGGAAGCCAAACACACAGTACAGAGTACATTTTTGTGTTTCTCACTCGAGTCCCGTGAACTCAAAGGCTCCAGAGCCACCGGGGATTCAGCATCAATCTCAAGGTCACGTGAAGGCTATTTTGGGGTTAAACCCAACCTGGGACCTCATATTATGCCGGACACAAACTGTGAAAAGCTAAATTTTTAAAAATCTACCACAGAAGTAAAGGCAGAAACAGTAAATCACGTCCTCAGGGGCTAGGTACAAGGAGGGATAGCAGTGTCCAAATGTAAAAGCAGGACAATATCTATAGGTAACATTATCAAAAATCTTTATTAAAAAGTATACATTAAATGTATAAACTGCCAGCAAATCATAAAAAGTACAGAACATACACATTTTCCAATCATGCAATCAATGTTACAAAATACACACTTTTGACACCTGTTAGAGAGTTTACTGCTAGGCTGAATAAATCAGGGGAAAAGATGAAGAAGAAAATAACACAAGCTTGTTTATCCTTGCTAATCTAAGTAACAACAAATACCAAAAAATAAGTGATTTTATTTTAGCAGGTTGATTAGTGAAATAAAAATAAGAATTGTGATAAAATGTATAAATGGACTGCATTCTGCATAAACCTCCTAGATATGGGAGACCCATTACTAATGCCAAATCATCATTACAATAGCCTTATATACGACTTAAGTAAATTTGTCCGATACCACAATAAGTTTGTAATATCTTAACACACATCTACCTCTTGCCTCATAATCATCTTGTGATGTCCAAAACAAATATCAAGAATCTACCATGTGATCAATGTCTTGCTGACTGAAACGGCTGAGCAGACTTGGTGTGATTATATCAGTCAACACTGTGTCAATATTTATCCCTTACAGCCTCGGGATTAGGATTCCCTTCCACACAATTGAGCACAGCACTAGATTAACTGTTTCATGGCTGATCTGATCTTCTCTGTTGTTAAAGTGTGTGTTTGTGTGTGGGGGGTCTGCATCAGCTGGGAGGCAGCTGGCCTACATACATTCTGGTTTAACCTCTTAATACGACCCCACTTGACATTCAACTACAGTAAACTGTACATACACAAATGCACTCAGTCCATATACAGCTATGCTGCAATGCAGATTATTTTGAGTTCAGGGGGTTCAGAGCATCTTTCTACAAACATCCTTTTAATATTCACAACACTGCATTTTAGCAATCTGAACTTTAAATGAGAGCTAGTGTAACCCTGGGTCCACACAGAGTCAGATTTAAATGTGCCTTTTCAGTCTTACTAAAGGCAAAAGGAACAAAGACGTATATAAAGCATAGTTTTATGATACATTTTTTTTTTAATAAAGTCTAGCACAAGGCTGACAAATAGTGATACGGTCAAAGAAAATTTAAAAATAAAAATGACCAAAATGTAAAAAAAAAAAAAAAAAAAAAAACCCCAAACATATGAAATGTAGTACAGTTACTGTTTCTATGGTGTGTTCAACACCAATGGTTTCCCATTAAGCCACTGTGGAAACTCAAATAATCATGTCACTAACTGCAGTTGTCCTTATAATTATCTAACAATACAAACTATTCAAGAAGTGCAATTTAGCAGGTCTTGTTTAATCTGAAGCCAAATACTGTATCTACATAGTATTAGAGAGAATTTAGTATTTTATAGCAAACACATCTCACAATTTACAATATATGACTCCACATTACAACTTACCAATGTGCATATGCAGCTAGCATAAAACATGTTTTATTATTTGTGGGCAATAAACTAGTATGTAGGCAAACACTGATAAGTATGGTTTGTTGAATGCATCTCAGATGCAATGGAGTGGTTTGAATCAGATATACTATATATATTAAAAATATATATATTAAAAATACTGAGAACAGAACAAAAATGTTTTACTGAAATGAGAGTTCATACAAGCTAAAATGTACCTTAATTCATAAAATAATCAAACATAATATTGCTAAATATAAAATGTCTCCCTTCATACAACTCCAACAAAGACATATTTGGTACTATTGAACCCAAACAGTCATGGATGGATACTGATAAAACTACAGTCTCATTGTAGCTTCCACATTGATGCACACAGAATCTGCACTTTGAGCCTATGTACATTTCAGAGGTTTTTTTCATGCGTCACTGTAACTGAATTTACCATTAATTTCAGCAAGTGCAGATGCAATTAATTGAACCCAAATGTATTCTGCTCATAGCCTCAGATACAAGATAAACAATTTGATTTATAAATGAAAGCAAAAAGAGCCATTTGGTAGCTCATCCTTGAATCGGGGTATGTGGTTATATGATACCACAAAGCATGAAAACTGATTTCACTTTTGTTCCACAGTGACACTCACCCAGCTTACTGTAGGGCAAAATGTACAAGTCTCAATACAGGTGCAGCAATGCCTTTTGGGATTTAGCTGTGCTTGTCAACATGGAGTGGTGTCTTTCCTGCTTTTTTGCTCAGTTAGGCGTCAGGGTTCAAGCTCTGTCCAATCAGGCGTCGGCTGTGGGCAGAACACTGAGCTTCTTCTTCCAACTAAAAGAGAATATCAACGGTCAGGGTCTTTGTTAAATTAAAATTTTTTGATGTTGAGAGACAGAGTATGACAGACCAAGTGGGAGTAAATAAGTGTGAATAAGTTCTAAGTGTGTTTGAGTTAGACCAAGTGTGTGTGAGTGCACGTCTGAGTCAGGCAGAGACAGCACAGTTACACCCCTGAAGCAAACCCACTCCTACTCACACACAAAGACACACACACACACACACACACACACACACCTGCTCTTTGATGTAGCTGTTTCCACATGGTGCAACCCCTCTGAGAGCCAATCCAACGATGAAGCACCAGACAGACAGCCCAGCCTCAAACCCTGCCAACACAGCACAAGGGATCCACAGCGACAGGGTGGTGTCCTGAGAGACAGGAAGTGATGGAAACAAGGAATAAAAAGTGTGAAATACAGTAATTAACAAACACTTTGAGGTTGAACATTTCTCCTGTGACACTTTTACTGAATTTCATGCCTCAAGAGTTACAGCTTGAATTGTCAGACAAAGAGCAAATTGGGGAGAAACGGAGGGAAACGTGAGTGAGGTGGACAAAGTGAAGGAACTGTAAGGAGGAGAGTTTAGACTCACATATATTCGTGTTGTATCAAATGGGCACCTGGCACTGACAGGTGACCTAGCGTTGATGGGCAGCTTTGTGTCATTGCATCCCAGCATCAAACTCTGCCCACTGTGGGCAACTGTGATACTAATGGCCAAAAGGAGCCCAATACAACATGCTGTTGAGAGCAGGGCATTCAGGAACGATGTAATTAGAAGTCCGATTTGCTGGAGACACAGACACAAAAAAAAACAGAAGAGGAGGTAACTATTAAATAGACACAGAATGAATGACTGATGTGATTATATCAGTAGTTTAAATTAAATAAATTAAATTCTTACCAGTTTTATCACATGCAGGTTCCTTGACACCACGATGGCAATAATCCCAGAAGCAATGCTCTGTAAGATTCATGACAAGATGATTGTTTTAGTTTAGCATTACTTAGGCATCGAGTAGGGTTTATTAAATTATGTGCCACAAGAACTAATCCTGGCCCCAAGGATGTGAGGCTGCATTTGTAAATTCAGGTGCCAGGGGAAGACTTCAGACACAAAGGAAGAAATTATCCTTTCACGAATGACAGTAAGTGCGTGATCACCAATGGAAAGCAGTGCTAGTAAGATACATTTTTGTAACCCGTCTTTTTGTTCTGTCTGTTTTACCTGTAAACCCTGTAATACCCTGTGTAGAGTACCTGGTTTGGAGTACATTTCAAAGAAAAGTGACATCAACACCATCTCATCATCCACAGCTGCCAGTTAATCAGATACCTCAATGTAATGAAGCCTGCCCTAGAGCAACTAGTGAATGAGTTAGAAAAAACAGCTCCCTTACCATAAGCAAGTTCAGTCTTGATCGCTAAGAAAAATACACAACACTATACCGAGCTAACAGCACAAATCACTTTTGATGGTTCATCTGATGCACGGAACACAGGAAGTCAAAGGCTTGAATTCAACATTGTTACTGATGGTAAAATGTTGTGATAAATAAACCAAGATTGCTCTTCTTTTTAAAGTTCAACACGCCTTAAGGCTCTTGGTGCACACTGCAGATCTGGGAACAAAGGAGGAACGTCTAAACTACTGACTCACCAGCAGGCCAGAGGTGACAGAGATGATGTTGGCTACAGTGTATTCAGTGGAGATATGCTGATTGGGTTTAGAAATGTGGCGGAGGACATTGCCATGTACAATAGCTCCAAGGATGAAGTTAATATGGCCAACCAGGATGAGAGTTAATCCCTTTTTCATTAGCCTCCTTGGCCCTTTGTCTTTATCTGGATGACAGAAAAACAAGAAATACTTAACAGAGCTTATATCAAAAGAATATTTGTAACATTGCCTAAATGAAAACTTGAAACAGGTTGGTTAGTGGGTTTCTATACATTAAAGTTACTTCACGTACACAGAACAAAAAGCAACGCAACACTGTGTGAGTACCTCCTAAAAATAAATCCAGAATATATGAATATTCAAATTTTATTTATTTCCAATGTTTACCTGCTGGACACAAGACTCAAGACAAGACAAGACAAGACTGCTGTTAAGTCAATTAAGTCAGTGTATGTGCACTGATAGCTTCAAAGTTCTACATCACACTTGTTTTAGGTAAATATTGGACAAGGGTTGACTTCCAAACTATTAGTGACACCACTTATAATTCAGATTTCCATTGAGTACAGAGAAACTTTCCACTTTCAGTAGATGAAAGTTAAAACATTTTTCTAGTGTCAAACTCTGCATATACATCATTCTAAACAGTGAAACTCACATCTGTAGGAACAAGAAGAAAATCATATGTTTGAGTGGAGAGGGACTTTTAACGTTACAAAACATAAACCTGCAACAAATGCAGATTTGGTTTAAAACTATTTTTGAGTCTTCCATGTTAATAATTAGAGAATTTGGAATTTCGGTCTGAGATTAACACCATTAACAGTGAGTTCTTCCTGAAAACATTTTTAAATTCATTATTCTACAGTTTAGTGCGCAGGGACAGACCATTGACAGTACATATAAGGGACAAAAGCATCTGCATACAAAGGCTGCACTGAGAGTCACGGAGATGGGTGGAGGCAGCTTGGGCACAATACATTAAAAACGTATACATTACTGATCTCTTATCTTGTCAGACTCTTTCAGTGTTGACAGCTCGTTTCCTCCAAGCATAAACCAGAGTAATTAATATTATACACGCGCAAATACAAGTCATATATGCAACGTTTTCTAAATGAAAGCGTATCACCCTACCTGCAGGCCTGTGGTCAGCTACACCCGCGGAGGGAAAACTACAGCGGACCTAAACGCCTGTAACATTACATTAACGAGAATAATAGCATCGTATCGGAATCACTCACCAAAAGTACACATCTCTCCGCTGTCTCACGTTTCCCTTTCAATCAATTAATGTCCGTACTTTTCCTGCACCTGTCCAACAGCAGAAACTCCAACGTCCCTTTGTCCACTTCCTGTATGACGTCAGGAGACTCACCTGTGAATTACCTGCGGTGTGCTGGACGCTGAGAGGCGCAACAGTCAACCCTGATTCATTACAAGCATCTTTGTTGTATTATTCCCCAAACACTGAGAAACGGTCTAACACATACAAGCGAAACAAATCAGAAAATCTTTACAACAGAGATTCATTTTACACATTTATTTGAAAGAACAGTCATACCTTTTGTCAGGATACACATCTCAGAAAAGACACACACACACACACACATTTACTGACTGTCATATACAAAATATAAGGATATCCAAATGTAACCAAGAGCTCACATCCTTGAGTGACAGGCTAAAGCTGCCCACCCTGTATGATTATTTAATAACCAGTTTCAACACCACCAATAATTTGGGTGTAAAAGAGAATACAGAGAGAGAGAGAAATAAAGAGAATAAAGCTGCTCTGGTGATCACATTGGTTGGTTTCTACCACTTTTCTATATAACAAGTGGTGCACTTACATTCTCCTGGCTGACTTTAAACACATCTTTGGAATATACAATCTTAGCAGGTCACAAATAGACATACAAAAAGAGGAAAATAAAGTAAACAATGCATTAAGAAGGACTACACACGTGATGTATAGCAAAATGCAGACTGGAGCACAAAAGTAGCCTGAATACCTTTTTCAAAAAATACTTCAGAGATATACGAGTGGAGATCATTGGAATAAATATGATCTCACTAGTGAGGTGAGCAGTTTAATAATATAACTCAACAACCAGCATCAGAGGAAAGCTCTGTCTGAAGCTCATACAGTAGTAGCTCAATTTAACTGGCACGGTGAATATAAGACACATCAATTATATTCTTAATAAAATGCCAGAAAAAGGTAAGGTATTGTTTTGTATAGTTATGATCTTAACTGTTTTTTGTTATCTGAGAATTTCCTTGTATTGATACTGTATGAGATTTCAGACACAGTAGTACCAAAAATCCACAAAGAGTTCTGAGCCAAAATGTCACAAAAAGGCCACAGGCAACTCCCTGATCTCAATACATGTCTAAACAAGACCTGTATGATGTCAAATTTTGTCTCGTGCCTCTGCACTCTGTGAAGGATAATGTCAAACCACTAGGTCCCAGTTTTATTAAATGGTAATCAAATGAAAACAACAGCGATAGAAACAAGAAAAGTTGTGTATTGGCTCAGACTCTCAACAATGTGGTCTCTGTGTGAAATCACAGTAAACAAAAGGTAAAGTCAAACACGATATACAGTATATGTGACATAAATAACACATATGACGCTTTCACACGGATGTATCAGGAAAATGTCCTCTTCCTACAGCATATGGCAGCCGAGTTCAGTACACAAGTCTCACATGAATGGATTTTAAAGGCAGAGTAGCATGTGTGAACCCAACAAGCAGCAAATGGTAAAATAAAAAAATAATAAAAACAAACTGAGAAAAGAGGACTTTAAGGCATGTGCGTAGGCTCAGACTAAGGCAAAGAGTTGAGCAAAATAAAACAAACACGCTAACGGAAATTCAGTAACACTGAGTTCACAGTACCTCCAAGTAACCAGGTATCCATTTTTCCAGAGAGAATTGGCATGATGCCCGGCCAAAATGTGATGCGCAGTGGTGCACAAAGTTATTACTCATGGGTATTTGTGTATAATAAAGTCAACTGAGAAAGTTGCCTCTATGCCGTCCAGTTTTCAAACTATTACATATATTTAACCTGATAAGTGACAGGTTGGTCCAAACATATCACAAAAGTCAAAGAGCAGGGATCGTGTTGTACAAATGGGAGCCAAATGAGAGGGAGAACCATGTGAAATGAGGATCCAGAAAGAATGGCTTGGCTTGTTTAGTAAAATCGTCTTTGGGTAGAAATGTATCCCTTCATCTCTAGGGTAGCTAAAGTTTTGCTGGTGGTCAAGAGGTGTAGATCCGACCATCAAAATTTAAAAGTATAACAGTAGCAAGAGATGAGTTAGCATGTGGTGTGAGGGCCTGAATCTGTCTTGATTATGTTTTAGACTCATCCTGACACAAACAGGCCAGGCAATTCATAGTGTAAACACCTCACACTAAATAAAACTGTGTTTATGAAAAAGTGGGTTTCAACATAAAGCTGCAAGTAATCTAGTCAGTACTGTTGTGATCAAGTGTCAAGTGTCGCAGCATTAATGAGGTCTACCTTTTAATTAAACTTAACAGCCAACTTAGTAGCCAACTCATTCAAAAGAATTACACACACACATATTTATATATGTATGTTTTGACTTACTAAATAAAAATGTGAAATCACTCCAGGTGGCTTCTTTAGAGTCACCTGGACTCTAAAATTGGCTTTATGGTAAAGATTGTGTGCTTTTAGGAAGTTTTAATCCCTAATGCAAAAGAAAAACCCACTCTTTTGGTCACATTACCACCTAAGGCTAAATAGAAAAGACATAAAAAAAAAAAAAAAACACCGAATACAATCACTGTGTTGAGTAACCAAAAAAAAAGACATGCAAGTGGGTTAAGAGAGTGTACTTATGAGGAGACAGTAACATGGTCGAGTAAACTCGCTAGTGAAGAGCTTGGCTGAATGCTTCTTCTAGTAGAGAGGCTATTTTGTTTTGGTCCACCTGTGAAGAGAACACAAACATTTTCAATAATCTAGGATATTACAAAAGATAAACAATCTATTGACTGTAATAATGCACCTTATCTCCAGTAGCTAAGACACACACAGACAAACAGACGTAAGTACAACATAAAACCGTAATCAGCTGAAACAGGATTAAGTCATAAAGACATATGGCTACATATACTCTCGCCCACAGAAAGATGAAGTGACTATAAAACATTGATGTGGGTAAGTGAGTAGGCACAGGAGTACATATGGCTCTTAAGAAGGGGAGGTGTCTATGTGCTGGAGGGTATATAGAAGTGTCAGGAGTCAACGCACCTTTTAAAATCAACAGAATTTTTACATGGTTTGGTACAGAAATAGCATGCTCAACCTACAGTATCACCCACACACATTGGCCTGCAGTTTTGCACTAGCACGCGCACACACACGCACACACACACACAACGTGAATCTCTCTTTAACACACAAAACACCCACCTCACTGATTAAGTTCAGCTCCACCAACTCTTCAGCCAACTCTTGAAAATTCTCATCTGAAACACACATCAGCACAGTTAGTAACAGTCGTTTATAGACATGGAACATTACCTTCATGTCAACTCTACCAGTCACTCACTCACTATCACCTGTGGAGGAAGAGGGTCATGCTTAGGGTAAATAACTCATTTAGAAAATATAGTCCAGATGCTGCTTTTAAATCCCTATCCCACCTTAAACACAAAAAAACACCAAACTGCAGCTACTGCTGTTAATCTTTGCAACTCTGAACCGATTTTGTTGTTTGGTAGTGCCACTTTTTTTTTTTTTTTTCTTTTCCTGTGGACATCTAACGAAGTGTTCACTTAGTCATATCCAGTACAGCTAAAAAGGACAGAATGGGATTCATCTGGCAGGAAAATGAAAAAGCCAACATGTTTCAACCAGCATGGTGTTCATTAGGGCATGGTCTGTTAAAACATGTTAGCTTTTAAATGTTCCTCTTTAGCCTTGCTGTTAAAGGCTTAATGATTTAATGGACGGTCCTAAAATCTTCTCCTTTCCTCAATTGTATTATGTCCAGAATTTTCTTTTTGGCTCATATGTTACCTAATGTTCTAATGAGCCCCTGTATTTAACTGTTTAACCTAAAAATCTGCAGTGAATTTCAGGTACGTCTACTTTCATGACTCCACCGTCAACATATGCTGTATTATAAAAGAACAAATCTATCTCTGAAAAGGGAAACATTAAGGTTTCTTCACCAACAGCAGTGTCAATAATCCATGTTATAATGCAGCTGCACAATTTTTTGTTATATAAAACAACTCCTGCTCTGACTGTGCTATTCCTGTCTTCTTACATTACATGAAAGAGGTTAAAGAACTCACTACCTTTGGTGAAAATAAAAGGCAGGTTAAGAGAAAGTCAGTACACCACAAAACTAAACTACAAGTGAACTACAAAGGAAATCAACAGAAGTCTAAACAAAATATTTTCAAGGTTGCAAAAAAAATATGGAAATTTAGGGAATGCTGGATTTTACTTGACTAAACCATTGAGGAAATACACTCAGAATGTATAAAATGTTGCATAACTTTTAGTGCCTACTTTCTCCTGAAAACTTTAACAGCATCTGCATAAACCTCCTTTCAGTACCTGACCTGCTTTTTTTTTTTTTTTTTAAATAAAGGGAGAATATTTAATACAAGTGGTTCCATCCACTGCCCCAAACTGACACTCTTTGACTGTGACTAGTGAGTAGAGGAGTTGTCATGGTCTATTGCTTTTTAATAACCTGGCTGTCAATTTACAACAGTGTCAGGAATGTGGCCAGGACAAGACAAACAAGTAGAGGAGATGGGTCATCCAAAAACTTTTACATCAAGAACAGAAAAACACCAGCGGCCCACAGCTACTGAAATTGGAGAAGAAAGAAGCTTCCTTGCTTGGTCCTGTCTTGTGATTTCAAATGAAATATATCTAAAACCAATTAGTTACTATTGATTTTGAGTGAAAAAATATAGCTTCAATCTGAATGCATTGAAGTTAGAGGTGTAGGACAGCATAGTTAAGGTGATGGAGGATGAAATTTAAGTGGCTCAGTTAAGCTGAGTGATCCCTACACACTGTGACTTTGGACTTTGGTGTGTTGATAGGAGAAACTATCCCCTGATATCAGCAGGAGGATGTCTCCTACGAACTCGAAAAAAATGGATGTGTTACAGTATGTGTTAGTAGGATTGGGGTGCAAGTGTGCAAGAGAAGACATATGATGTCAGTGGGAGAGAGAAAAAGCAGAAGAGATAAAGTTAAGTGAATATGTGTGAGTATATGTGAGAGAGTGTCTGTGAGAGAGCGTGTGAGAGAGAGTGTGTGTGTGCATATCGATGAGAGACAGGGAGATGAAAGCCTAGAAAGAGATGGTCAGATGTTGACACAGGAGGTGACAGCTGTCAGCTGTAGCCTTTCACAGGCCACGCATTCCCCACATGCCCGCAACATTGTACATGCCTACCATACCTGTGCTTGTGCAGATTGGATCATACTGCCTACATTATTCTGACCATTGCAGTTGTGTTGTACGTTTTCTCATTTGCTGAGATGAAAAGCCTCAATTTCAAATAAATAAATTCAAGTAAGTCAATTCTGAAAGGAGAATCATTGTTTTCATGAGTGCTTTTAACATATTTCATCCCTATTGGGGTTTTGAAAGTCACTATTAAAAAACAATTCCAGAATACAATCTAAATAAATTTGTCCAAAATAGAGCTGTGCAAGGTTTTCATGACACATAAGCGACAGTCGGTCTCCCTGCCTAAAATAGTATATTGTGACGCCATCTGAGTTTCAAGCTCTCTCTGGAATCTCACTCTCACTTTCCTACATGCCTCAGTGCACACATAAGGAGAGGTGCTGTGTATTAAAACTCTGTGTGTGGTAAAATCTACACAGTACACTGGACTATGCTATGCAGTACTTCACACATACATAACCTTACCATTTATCATCAGCTCTAGTCAAATGTAATTCTACCATTAACCCTAAACCCAAGTTGTAAACCTAAACCATCCAGATGGACAGAATGCCTTCATAAAGACCTTCCTACTCTAAAGGTGCAACACAAAATACACATGCAAACATACATGCAGAAACACATGGCACTCCCAAATCCCAAAGACAAGTACTGTCTGCTGTTCATATTTTACACACACACACACACACACACACACACAGTGCTTGAATGGGGCCAAAACTAGATGACACACACGTCTGAAGAATGGCCTCTAATCAACTTATCTTCCCTTAATCTCACCTACACAGGACACGCCTTCAACAACATCAAATGATCAACGGTTGCTGCTTCTTATTTAAAAATATACCCCGCACTTTGTTTTGGCGCCCAATAGTGTTCCCAAATCCAACCTCCCAGATCACTTCTGATGTATTTAAAGTTGACTGGGTTGAACTGGATGTGGGTGTATCTTTAAGCTCAGAGTGGGTAAATGTTAGTGTGTGATAAGAGAGGTGGTCTTACGAGGTAACATGTCACAGCTTAGATGTCTATTCAGTTTATCCTCCAGTTTCAGCAGTAATGTTAGCTAAAAGGAGAGAAACAGACAACAGCAAAACAAAATTATTATTTTTACTTCTGCTTGACTGGAAGATAACAAATGGTTGTTGATTAATATCATGTTGCTGATCAAGCAAAAACCGACAACAAGCGAAACCGATATGGTGCCTTCTGAATTAGTTAAACAGTAAATGATAAAACTATAAATACTATTACAGAGACTTACATGGTACTTTGCTCCCTCCTCCACAGGTTCAAAGTTACACTGCATATGAATGACCTGCAGAAGAAGTATGAAAATCTAAATATGAATGGTTCTCAACTAGTGTTAATAGTAAACAAGTACACATCTAGTATACATCTTGTATGTCACTATTGTGATTTTATTTTCCTTTTGTAACATGCTGTATAATGTATTGTACGTACCCGCCGTGTCTCGAGTTCTGCAGGTTCAGGGGTGGGGGATTTGACCAAGGGGACGACAATGGGAGATTTAACAGTCTCCTGTTGAGGCTGCAGAGGACAGGGCAGCCCGAACGCCGTCATGGGGTAAATACCATTCCTGGTTCAGGGAGGGAGGGAGAGAGGGAAAGTAAGAAATGAAAGAAGAGATGAGAAAATTAAATGTTAAAAACAAAATCTCCATTTTTTCATATGATGCTATATGTACATATGCTACATATAGCATCATAGTTTACATGTAATTAAGCATCTGTTTCTTTTGCCATATAGTTTAAACCTTAATTCAAAATGACTTTTTATTTCATATGCTAATTACAAATGTAATATAAACACAAGAGACACATTAGACAATAACTATCAGTCTATCTGTGGCCAATTCAGCTCCTTGGCTATGATTGGCTTCACAACAGAGTGGCCAGAAAAACTAAATCTTTTAATTTACTACATTTAATTAACCCTAAGTCCAGGATTCATGATTTAGGAGGGCATTATACCACATTTAGATGATATTATATTATAAAAGACAATGGAAGACGCACCACAGTCAGATGGTTCAATAGTGCCCCCATGTGGTCAGATAGTCTTATCTTTGTTCTATACTACTTTGCTTCTTACCTCACATCCTCCAAGAATTTATCAAGCTCCAAGGCAGGAAACTGTGAAAGCCTACAGAATACAAAAAAGGGATAAAATCAGATTCTACACTTTAAAAAAAGTACACCACAGAATTTAAAATAAGGTAATATAATGTTTTGAACAAACTCAGAAGATCGTTAAGGAATAACACATGCAAGAAAAGAACCACATTTTATTGGATATAATTATTTTTTGGGGTATAATTTTTTACTTCTCTGCCATTATATTCATGAATATATATATATATATATATATATATATATATATTTTTAAATGAATTAAGGAACAACATTAATGCTTTTATTTATTTTAACATGAATTAAGGAACAACATTAATGCTTTTACAGTAACAAAAAACAACCCTGGAGTTCAAACATTGTTTATGTATTTTTTATGTTATTATTGAATTATTATTGAATCTAAATGCTACTGTTAATATTCATGCTTTATCTAGCTGACTCACTTAAATGTGGATACCAGCTTCTGGCCCTTACCTGAGCTGAACGTCCTCTGTCATCTCAGCGATGACCAGGTTGGGGTCCATGTTCTTGGTCATCTCCTCCAGGGCATTCTCGGGAATCATGTCTGGACAATTATAAACCATTGAAGATTGATTAGTTGGTACTGGCTGTTAGGATAAATCCCTTCAAGTTAGACATGCTCATTGGTGGTATCA